TTACATTTGGAATAACAATCCAACAAAAGATGTCTATGAAGCTTATTTTTCCTCTTTAAATGCATGTTAAGCATGCCTATTCTAGAAAGCAAGACTCCTTCAGCCAGATACTGGTAGGACAAAGTATAACTTGGGAATACTACTCTATACTATTTAAAATAAATTACGTTGATAAATTACAGTAGAAAACCTGGTAAATAGATGATAAGAGTTATAAACTAGAAACTGATAAATAAATAAGTAGGTAAATAATATAATATAATGTCATGTAACTACCAAAAGAACAGGAACTTACTTTTATTTAATATACAACTCATTTTCATTAAAAAAAAAAATATCCTGGCATGACTGCCTAAAACTCTTAAAGACATCCATTTTTTTTTATATATATTATTTCTTTCTTCTAAAAGATTCCAGCTCTCCTGAATTTCTTCTCCTGTGTGTATTCCTCCAGGCAACTTTACCTAGCAATCACCTTATATTAGCTTCTTCTGAAGACAGTTGCAGCTACAAGGCCTCATTCCCTCTTTTCTGCAGAATCATGAACTTCATCAATTCATCCAACTTTCCTGCTACCTTCAGATCTTTGGTCAGTCCCTTCTTAGACTCTTCTGAGACAGAAACTCGTACATTTCTTGTCCATCCTCTAAGGAAAGGTCTTCACGTTTCAAGCTATTATTGGCAGCCTGCATTGGTTACTCTGCCAAGATCCAGAGAGTTTCTATCAACTCCTGGTTTTCCGATGGTCCACCAGTGTTCAAACTGCACCTTCTTACTCTTCCCTTTTCATCTAAACCATGTTCCTCCTGTGCTCCTATTTTTTCCCCTCTGTTGTTATTGCCCAGACTTGATTGGCAGAAGTGGATCTTTCTAGACCTCTGAACAAGGAAAGATACTCCAGAAATAATGGAAAAAGTTAGGCTGGAGGGAACCTGGGGGTCACGATGTCCAATTCCCGTTCAATGCAAGGCAACCTTTAAAGTTAGATCAGGTGGCTCAGGTGTCTTTTCTTCACTGTGGGGATTCCTGCAGATAAGTTGCTGTGATAGCAGTTACATTGTACTTGGTCCTGCAACTTCTACTAAACTTTGACTTTTTTTAACACCTTATTCTTCCAGCAAGTAGAGCCATCCGAGATGGCAGCAGGTTGTCCTACCACTTTCACTTATCTCCCTCGCAGCATGCTAATGCTAGCTTTCCAGTACCTTAGTAAAATAGTGCATTTGTTCAAGTCCACCCTGATGGTTTACCAGTTTCATGGGTTACAGACACAATAAAGTGTGTACTAAAGATTTAGATTTGGAAAAACAAAATATAGCTTGCAAACCCATTGTTTTTGTCGTTCTGCCTAAGATATTATGCTTATATTTAGATACTAATTTTTGTGGAGAGAAAAAAAAATAGAAAAAAGGAGTTTTAAAGATGATTGTTTTTCTTGAGTAGAGAATTTACACAAGTACTAGCTATTCTGAAATTCTCTCTTGCACAGATAAAACAAACCATTCAAGGAACCTTACTGGATTGAAGAGGCTAAGAAACTGTTTGCCACTATGCATAAAAGCATCCTAACCTGAACCCAAGTGCTCAGTTTTATTGCTTTCCGGGAAGATAATGCCAATGATCTTAACCTCACAGAACTAGAGTAGTTTTGGTTTTCAGACGTATTTTCCACAAGTCTACTGACTCAAGTTTTACAACACGAATTTAAGAGTAACGTTCGGATAGACCTTTATCCCACCTAATTAACATGCCTTGAAAAATTATGAGATGTATGTGTTTTCACGGCTTATGAAAGCGAATTTTCAAGAAGCATTTTCACACATTTGAACTACTGTGCACTTCTCAGCTGGAGAATAATTTTATTTGGACAGCACAAAGAATTAGGTTAATCATATATGTTTGATTGGTGTTTGAGGGTATCAAATCCAGCAAGGGGAAGAAAACATCTCAGCCAACGTTTTGGGAACCAGGGAGACTCCAGTCCAGGTGAACGTTGCAGTTAGTTGAGTTTATAGATCTCTTCTTAGCCGAAATATTGAAAGATTCAGGGTACTCATTTCTGTGTCAGAAATATCTTTTTCTGAAGACCATGAAAATTAGGATAACGCTGGATAATTGATAACAGCCAGCATTCAGCATTTATCATTCATCATCTCAAGCTGATGATATCACATGCGGGGGCTTATGCAAAAATCTAACTTCCTGAGAAATTTTTTTAATTGAACAATGTAACAGGAACAGATACTGGCTGAATGCTCTTGGGTTAGATTTCAGCTGATTTGAGAGTTTTATTTTTTGTAGTTCTCTGTGTCCATCTTTTAAAGTGGTTGTTCTAATATTTTAAACTTGCATTTGAAACAATTTCACAAACCTACATTCCTTCATCTTAATGAGTCCTGGAAAACAGGAAATGAAGGGTTCAAAGGAAGGGCAGACAACTACTGTAAATCACAAAGTATATTCCCTCCAGAAAGTGATTATTTTAAAAACAAAACCTGATCATCATTAAGAGTATGTAATTGTAACAGATTGTTTAAACCCTAATGATGTTGCTCTGAGGTAATTGGTCTTTATAATCCTATTCAGTGAAAAGAACTACATTACCTTTGCAGTATGATGAAGTGAAATGCAGCTGACAAAACATAATAAATCAAGGCAAAGTAAGACTTTCAGTTTTCAGGTAGGCCATTATAAAGGTCTACGGCTCATGTATTCTAATTTACAGTGAACAGAGAGTCTGTCCCAGAAAATACTAATTTCTACTTGTACGCAGTACCATGTAAATATTATTTTTTTTACCAAGCATGCAAATTCAATGATAAGACTGTATTTTCATTCCAAGAGAAGTAGCAAAGCTATGTATATGGTAAACTGAATTAGAAATCCACTATTTCGGATGTCTTTTTTTTTGCTGAGGCAATCAAGGTTTATATTCATAAAGAAACAGTTTCAGGCTTTATTTTTACATTCACTATGGCTATCTTCAATCATATATGAATCAGGATTAAACCCTTGCTCAAGCAGCTGTGTTCTCTTTCTGTTGGCAGTATAATAATAGTCTCAATGTCAAGCATTCTCAAGCAATCTGTATTCTGACAGTTGTTTGCTGAACCTACTGAATACTAAAATTGCAGAATTTCATATATGCTTTTGCAGACATAAAATGTTTAAATATACTGAATATTAATTGTGATCTTATCTAATAACCCGTGCTGATATTTAACTCTGAAGATATTCTGGTTTTTGATTACATACTTTGGTACCATTTGTTTTCTGTCTTGATCAATTAATCTCCAGACATTTAAATAATTCTTGATTCCGCAATGGCCAACTGATTTAAAAAGATCTGACTCCCAAATAGAAATGTCTGCCTCAGTGGCAGTCTATTTTAAAGTTATTTGTGTTGACAAGGAGTTTAAGAAAGCTCATATCAGATGCCACATTTAATTCATGGCGTGAAAGAAATCCAACACTTCAAACTGCAAGAGTCTCTCATCACATTTTCTTAGTTAAAATGTTCTTCTTTTTCTGAGCTTGTCACATGTAGAGCTTTATTTTTAGCTGACATAAGGGTTGAATATTAAGACATGAGCTTTAATACCAGAAAAAAATTAGCTGGACGTTTCTCTAATGTTTCAAATTACAGGCTAGAGGCATATACTATAGTATGCTGCTAGAGTTAATGAAGTGTTTTGCTTCCTTGGAACAGCAAACATATGCCCATGTAATCTCTGGTGCTAATGGCCTAAAGAGTTACAGGGGATAGGTGCCCTAGAATTATTTTGCCATGCTCCTGGCAAAATAATTTGATGTACTAATACAACATGAAATAAAATCCTAGACTGGTAATTTAATTAGAACAGCTTGTCAATTAACAATAATTGCTCCTGACCTGAGGCTCAGTAGTACATTTGTGAGGTTCACACAAAAGACCACATCAGTGTCCTTTATATCAACAGACCTTTCATGCTGAATATGTATCCACTCCTGTGGCTGTGCTTTAAATGAAGTACTTAAACCTCTATTTTGAAATTGATTAACCTTCTCCTTTGCAGTAAAGTGTATCACATCTCCTGAACTAATCTGGTTTAAGAAAAAAGCCAAAAGAACAACCAACCCCCTGATCACTCCACTGGTTACAAACGACTTTTGGTGGCCGTGGTGGCAAGCCCGAATACCCACGCCATAATGAGCGTGGCTGTGCCGACCTGGGCTGCCGTAGGGCACCTGCGGTACAGAAATACTCCTTAGAAAAGGTAATGAAAGCCTTACCTAATCTTCTCTGGTTAGATTTTTTTTATGATGTCTCTAAAAAGTGTCCATAAGCAATAAGCAAAATTGTTTAGACCTTCCTTAAATATCATACTTAAGACAGAAGCAAACATCAGCCTGCTTTTCTAGGGATAAAATGCTGCTATGTTTGAGTGCGTAATAAATACTAGAGAAAAAATACTCAGAAGAGGTAGGAATGCTGCAGACATTCCTGTTGTTAACAAAACCAATAAATGACAAAGGGACAAAATACGGAACAGACATGCTTGATCATTTTGCCTGAATTCTGTTTTTTCCCATATCTTTCATCTGTTTTCTGTCTTGTATGACTGTAAGCAATCTGGGGCAGAGGTCTATTTTCTTGCTTGGCACACTCCTAGCAGACTTGAAATGCTATCACAATGTGCATAACAATAACAAGAACAGAAAAAAATCATACTTAAGCATTGGAAATGGATTCTACATATTTAATAAATTAAAATAGCTCTTGTAAAAAATCTTTCTGTTCTAATGCAAATCAGGTAAGTGAGATTTGCCTGAGGACAGAGCTAAAATAAAATAATACTGTGGGCACCTGGTCTTCTGAGTTTTCATAACTACAAATACGTCATTTTGCATGACCACCTGCTGGGGATGTTCATATTCAGACAATCTGGTGCTAAAAAGGAATGTTTCTGCCCTCTTTCCAACTCTTCCGGACTGTAAGATATAGAGAAGTAAAAGCATACCTGTATACCCAGTTTTACAAACGCAGTTGAAGCTTCCCGGAAAGTTCTGGCAGGCAGCACCATTTTTGCACGGGTTGGAAAGGCACTCGTTGACGTCCCTCTCGCAGGCCATGCCAGTGAAGCCCTCCGGGCAACTGCACGAGAAGCCCCCCACTAAATTGTGGCAAGTCCCGTCGTTGTGGCAGGGGGAAGGGAAGCATTCGTCAATGTCCGTCTCGCACAGACTGCCATCGTACCCTGGCATGCACCTGCACACGAAGGGCCGCAGGGGCTCGTTGGCCACGATGATGACAGGGATGCTCTCGTGGCTCTTCAGTGTCGGGCTCACTGCCAACCTCCTCAGGCAGCTCCCTCCATTCTGGCAGGGGCTCTGCAGGCACCAGTCGTGGTCCACAGCCTCGATCCTCACGCCGCTCTGGCGGAAGAGGACATCTTTGATGCTCTCAAAGAAGGTCGCCACGCCACTGGGATTCACGTACTGGTTGTTGCTGCGTTTGACGGCTGCCATCAGGAAGGTGTGGTTGCTCTCCTCGTACAGCCCGTAGAGCTGGACAGCGGTGCCCAGCCCCGTTAGCTGGGAGCTGGCGATGCGTAAGAAATGGAGATAGTGATTCGTCAGGAAATCCCGTACACTGTGCGCACTCAGGCGGAGAAGGATGCTGTTGTCAATGGTGGCGTTGCTGAAGCCCGCGAAGAAAATCCGGACGCTACTGGTGACGGCACCATGCAACCCGTCGTTGCTGAGGATGGCCAGGTCAAATGTGCCATCCGTGGACCTTGCCTGTGAGTGCAGCTCGCAGGTGCCCCCAGGAATGCTGAAGAGGCTGGTGACTCCTGAGGTGAGGGAGCACTGGAAGCTGTCTAGAACATCTGGATCCTGCGGCTTTACGTTGCCCAAAATTCCACCTGGGAAGAGGTTGCCATAATAGTGAACAAAGATTTCTACCGTTCTGGGCTGAGACGGGTTGTCATTTTGGTCTATTACCTTGATCTGCACAGTTCCTGTGGAAGACATCTGAGGAACGCCAGAGTCTCTCGTAATCACCGACAGGTAGAAATCGCTGATTTGCTCCCTGTCGATCTCTCTTGTCGTTGTTAGTACGCCAGCGGTGCTCAGGCTGAAGTAGCTGGTTGCGGGGCCAGTGCTGAGCAAGTAATATGTAAAGGGACCTTGGTTCGGAGGGAGATCAGGATCTGACGATTGAAGGGTCATGACAAGAGTTCCTGCACGGTTATTCTCCATGACTTCTCCTTGGCTGGTGGACAAGGTAGGGCCGTTGTCATTGATATCTTCCAAAGTTACCAATAAAGAAGCACTTCCTGTAGCAGACGGCGTTCCCGAATCGATGGCCAGCACAGACAGGTTGTACACAGGCAACGTTTCTCGATCCAGCTCTGCAGTGACCGTCACCTGTCCTGTCTGTGGGTTGATGGAAAAGGCGCTGTTGTTGTTGCCAGACCCAATGAAATAGGAAAACCGGCTCCAGCTAGGGACAGAATCTGAATCAAAGGCACTCACGAACGTGACATGGGTGCCTGGAGGAACACCCTCACTGATTTGTATATTGTAGGTTCCTAAGGTAAAAACGGGAGGATCGTTGGCATCCAGTATAGTGATATTAACAGTTACTTCATCTATATCTGCACCACGAATGCTCCCAAAATTTTTTGCGAGGACTTTCAAAGAGATTCGTTCTTCTTTTTCTCTGTCCAGAGGTCCTGAAACATAGATCTGGCCACTTTTCTCATCTATTTGGAAGCCTTTCTTTCTGCTGTTGCCAAAGATAAGGTAGTGCACTTCTCCGTCAGTTCCCATATCACGATCACTTGCAAAAACTTCACCTACAACAGTGCCTTTGGCAGCTGCCTCAGAAACCTCAAAATAATAAAGCTTGGACACAAAACGGGGCACATATTCATTTGTCCCTTCTAACTGGATGTTGACGCTAGCAAAGCTGCACCTCTCTTCATCTGGAACATTAAAAGCCTTTACTGTTAAATGGTAACTTTGCTTTGTTTCATAATCTAAAAATCCCTGGGTGGTGATCGTTCCTGTATTGGGGTCAATGACAAAGAGGTCACTATCTGAAGACTGAATAGCATATGCAATCACAGCGTTAGGTCCAGAGTCAGCATCAGTGGCATTTAAACGAATAACAGTTGTCCCACTGGGGGCATTTTCTAACACTTTGGGAAAGTAGTCCTCAGGGCTGAATGTTGGAGAATTATCATTCACATCAATGACATTAACAGTGACACTGCAGTAGCCTGTTCTGGACACCCATCCTCCATCTGTGGCAGTAACAACTAGCTCATGCTTGTGGCGTAACTCAAAATCAAGTGGTTTTGCTAGTGTCAGTGTACCAGTAGTTGTATTAATAGCAAAGATGCCAGCCTCATTTCCAGAGGAAATATTATACCTGATTAATCCGTTCATAGCAGCATCTCTGTCTCGGGCTGAAACTGTCCTGACCACTGCTCCAACAGAGTGACTCTCTGGGATAGTAATGCTCATACGGCTTTGAGAAAACTCAGGTGTATGGTAATTTTCCTCTGTTACTACTATTTCAACCGCTACCTCGGATGAGAGTGGAGGATTACCTTTATCCTTTGCTTTCACTTTAAACAGGAAGTTTTTGTTCAAATCAGCCATTAGTGAGGATGACACAGAAATCCAGCCTGTACTCCTGTCCAGTCTGAATTTATTAGTTTTGCTTTCATCAGAAATAAAATACTCCACTTCAGAATTCAAGCCAAAGTCTTTGTCATCCACTGCAGTAACTTTAATTAAGTTTGTGCCAACCCTCACATTCTTAGTAACAGGAGTAAAATATTTACGAGCAAGGAACAGTGGTGCGTTGTCGTTGCTGTCTACTATGTTAATGGTGACGGTTGTCTCGCTCATTAACGGAGGACTGCCTCGGTCTGAAGAAGTAACAATGAAGCTGTGCCTATTAATGTTGACATTGCTTGAACCGCTGGAGTTTTGGTACCTTAAATACTGCTTGTTGAAAATTTCCCCCGTGGTTGCATTAATTCCGAAGAACTCGGACTGGGATTTTATGAAGTAGAAGACTTGGCCATTCGACCCTTCATCAGGATCAGCGGCTGAAACCTGGGTGACCTTCAACCCAATCCCATGAAGCTCAGGACACTCCAGGTAATAGGATGGCTTTATAAATCGTGGGGCATTGTCGTTGACATCAGTGACAAATATGGTGACATCTGTGCTCACTGTCCACCCAGAGTCATGTGCAGAGACCCTGATTCTGTAGCGGTCTGTGTCCTCCCTGTTTAGTGGTCTGTTGATGGTGATGTCCCCAGTGCTGGGATTTATGGTAAATGGGAGACTTGTATCCCTTATGGAGTACCTGCTGACCGCGTTCACCCCAATGTCTTCATCTGACGTCGTGACTCGTGTTACCGTAAAACCCAGAGGTGCATTCTCGGGCACGGAAGCACTGAATATCTGGGAAAACCTCGGAGCATTGTCATTTTCATCTAAAATATTAATGACAACTTTGACGGTGGTGCTCTGGAGCGGGGTACCTTTATCTGAAGCTTTTACGGTTAGTGTGTATCGAGACAGTTTCTCCCTGTCTAAGGGCCTGACACTTCTGATCTCACCAGTGGCTCGATTGATACTGAAACTATTTTCCATATTGCCCTCAATTATTTCATAATTTAGCTGTCCGTTTAGGCCACTGTCCCTGTCGACAGCAGCCACCGTCAGTATTTTCCGTGGGGACAGGTTCTCCACTATTTCTGCAATGAAGGGATCTTGCTCAAACTCTGGTGCGTTATCATTGACGTCTATCACCGTTACTTCCAGTTTCTTATATGAGGAAAAGGGAGGAAAGCCTGTATCTCTGGCCTCGATCCAAACCACGTATTTCTGTATGGCTTCAAAATCTAAAGCCTGCCCAACAGAAAGCTGTCCTGTCACCTGGTCGACCAGGAAGGTGCTGCCCAGGTTACCACTGGCGATGTAGTAAGACAAGGAGCCTCCTCTGGCTGAAGATCCGGAGACGGTGGTGACAAGCGTACCGACCGCTTGGTTTTCAGGAAACGTGAAGGTCTCCTGATCTGCCTGAACGCGAGGAAATTCTGCTCTGTTCACAAACCTCACAGTGACGGTTGTAGAGTCTGTCTTTGGGTACCGGCCGCCATCCCTCACATGAACAGAAATGGTGACTTCAGACTCTCCCACCAACGGGTTTGCAGCCAGGATCGCCCCCCTTGCTGGGTCGATGTGGAATTTCTCGGAATTTCTCCCCTCAAGGGAATAATGGAGCTCGGCGTTGGAGCCGGCATCTGCATCGGTGACGGTCACAGCAAACACGAACGAGCCTGAAACAGAGAACAAAGTTAGGGGAGTTCTTTAATGAATGCACCAACTGCAGGAAATGTAATGCCAGGTTTTCACTTGGAAGCATGTCCTGGAGAAGTATGCTCTTCCTTATGTTGCTCTGCAAATGAACTCCTTTTTTCATAAGATGAGAAGTTCAACAAGGGATAGGTGAGTTGGTAAGTCCGCAAGACATGCACACAGCCAAAAAATGTGGGTTTGAAAAGTAGGTCACTGCATTCAGAGAAATGGATGTACAGATGTCAGCGGTTGCACATACATCTGCACTAGAAAATGGACATGGAACTTTTTAGAAGTCTAGCATCCCATTTCTAGAACATTCACATTATGAAAGCCATAAATCTAGTAACACTGAATGTTATTTTGATTTTTTTTAAAATTACTTATAGTTTATTTATCCATGAACCTCCCTCCCTGGAATTCAATGACTATCAAGACAACATAAGTGGACAGGCAGCACCTATGGACATTTACCCTATACACCTACCTTCCCTTGCAGCCCCTTTTCTTCCTATTCCCTGGATGCTTCTCCTTTCTCCCCAACGGACCCTTACTTCTGATTTTGTAAGAGTATTCTGAGGATAGTAAAGTAACTAACAAGACTGCATTTTTAAAAGCATGCTGGTCCTCTGAGGTAGCGGTAAAATCACACAGAAATACAAAACCATTGCACACTAATGCAATAACATTAATATATTACATTTCAAGTCTTGAATTTATGCTTCACAAAGAGCTCAACTACATGGGCACCGTTTGCATTAACCTCTATATTTGCCTATCTGCAAGGAGAATCCAGGGTGATCTTTTGCGCCAAACTTTACAGTTCTAAAGCACAGCACATCTTTCAAATTTGACACTGTCTAACCAATTTGCAGAACACTCTTTTGATGTTTTACTGGTACTGAAATTTAGAAAATACCTACTCCTCTATAAAAATCATGTTGTTTTCAGTATCTTAAGGCAAAATCATTTACAGGCAGGAATGACTTTGACAGCGTCCCCTTAAAACTATACTTCATGTCACTATTTGTCATGTGCAATGACTTGTACTCCAGGGGCAGGAATATTTAGACAAGAACAGTATTCAAACCCTTGTGAGAAATGGGACAGGAAAAAATTAAGATCTTTGCTTCAGTTAGGCAAATTATATTATTTATTATTTTTATCACTAGTTCTCCCTTTTAAATTTAATTTAAAAATAACACAGAAATTAATATTTTTCTTTCAAAATATACACTAGATATTCTGTGATTGGAATAAAAGCAAAAGTCTTGATCAAGTTATGAGGGTTTGTTCTTTTTTGCGGAAAAGCTATTTCAGACATTACATTGGACTGCATTAAAGTTGGCGGGGGGGGTTGTTTGGTTTTGTTTTGTTTGTTTGTTTGTTTTTTCCCTATAAAATGGACACCATGCCTACTAGTAACATCATTGTCAACAGTCTTTCAAAATAATGTGAAAAGATATTGACATCTCCTTTTTAACGAAAGTGAACTATCAACTGAGGAAGTTGCAAATAAAAAAAGTACATGCATCCCCAGGTTTTTGTTAAGTTGAAAACAGAGCAAACATAGCTTAGGCTTTCTATATGTTTCCAGTTATAATGGGTTTCATACAAAAAGCATCCAAAAAAGACATTACCAGAAAACATCAGTTGAACTTATGTGTACTTCTTATGAAATAAATTTAAAGAAACACTCTGAAAAGAGCCATACAAAGGCACTGTACCCTAGTCAGAATACACAAAGATTCACCAGTGCAATAATAAAATAATTTCATAATGCTGTTCTGGAAACAGGGAAGAAATGTAAACAAATTCATTCTTCTGTAAAAAGAAGTATTTGCAATTGTTTAAAATTTAAAGAGAAAACTTCTTTTTGTTCTTCTGAAGGAAAACATATTTTGTAAATCACTTATCTTGGAATCCTCTCTGTAGGCATCACATATCTATGTGTGTGTATGTGAAAACACACAGCATCACCGACTTCCATAGCCAGCCATTCTGACTGCAGCTCGGTGAGTGATAATACAGTGATTGTATTATAAAATCCTTTTGCTGTTTTGAGATAGTAGAGGTCCTGGCATCAGTCCATTTTAAGTCTTGGAAAAAAAATAATCTCAAAATAGCAGAATCTTTCAGCAAATGCTCTCCATCCTCATGCAAATACACATACTCTACTTTCTTTCCCCTAGCAATGCCAATTCTGCAAATAGAAAATATTCGTATTTTGGACTTACCCATTTCTAATGTATTCATTTATGAGGCTTGTTTAAACAAACTGAATCAGAAATTAATTCCTGCATTGAGTGAAGTCACTTTAATTTGGGTATAGTTTCCACAAAGGAGGGTTGCTGCTTGGCTTTACTTTTATTTTATTTTACTTCACCATTTGGCTCAAGCAAAGGTCTTTTTGGAAGAGGTTGACAAAATCCTCTTTAAGAATTGCTTCGGGTGTAAAAAGAACATCTACACGCAGGAGGAGACTTTCAGATGAAAAAAGAGGCTATTGCTTTCCTCACCCTGGCAAAATAATTTAATCACTTATTTGAGTGGGTGCTCATTTACACTATGTCTTTATGTAACTGCAGGAAAAGAATTGAATTTGGATGGCAAACTAAAAAAACCTGCTATATTGTGGGTGATATTTTGAGTGGGTGCTCATTTACACTATGTCTTTATGTAACTGCAGGAAAAGAATTGAATTTGGATGGCAGGAACAAACTAAAAAAACCTGCTATATTGCGGGTGATATATTGAGCCTTGCCATCATTCATTCCCATGCAACACGAAGATAACAAAACCTGGAAAGCAGCTGCAGAGGAACATCTCAGAAACGTATCTTGTGGCACAGCTTTGCATTTCATCAAGATGTTTATGCAATCTGAAGTATCCCAAGCACTGCCACTGATCAGATTACCTGAAGTGGCAGGCGACGGGACATGGGTGACGTAAGGATGGTGTTGAAATTTGGGCGGGTTGTCGTTCACATCGCCGACGGAGACGAGTACGCTGGTGGAACTGGAGAGAGCCCTGGGGAAGCCCCCGTCGCTCGCCACCACCACCAAAGTGTAGTTCTCCCTTGCCTCTCGATCGAGGAGAGCACTGGTGATGATTTGTCCTGTTGATGGGTTGATTGTGAATTGCGAATTGCCACCAGTAAGCCTATAGCTGTTTGAAAGAAAAAACAAGGAACAAAAATTCGATTACTATTTCATAAGGTAGGCTGCTGCCTTCAGATAGTCTTCTATAGTCTTCAGACCACCATGCTGATGGGTATCAACATACGGATTTTCTTCTAACTGCCCATCTGTCTTCACTTTTTTTCTCTTCCATATTTCAAGACCTGTCATAAGTGCTATTTCTGGGGATTTCCAAGCATGGTTGCTTAACACAGATTTCCAATATATGAGGAGCAGACTGAGCCTTCGTATATTTGGAGATACAGCTGGACATACTCTCAAAATTGGCTACTGGAGGCATCCTCTAGTACTGGGCTAATACACTGTTATTCCAAAAGGCTGACATATCTCTTAACTGAATCTGCAGAATACAATTAGAAAAAATACTATTTTCTGAAATAAAAGGATGATTATTCTACAAAATACTACGAGGATTTATAATTCATATTGTTTCCTGATACTGAGCTAAGTTTTGCTATTCAAGATTTCAATGTTAATGTGTAGTAATTCACAGCAAATTTGTAACCACAGCACTACGTTAATAGACACTAATTGGGATCAGAATTTGACCCCGATTGGTGTATACGTATGTGCACACATCTGTTTGTGTGTGCAAAAATGGGATTTGATAAGAAGTGACTGTGTGCTTACTGCAGTGTGTTGTACAGGCTACCTCTGGCTTGCTAGCACAGTGAATTTACTTTTTCTTTGAGTGCTTACCCAGCTTGTGTTCATACAGAATGGATCTCAACGATATGTGGAGCACTGGGCTGTATTTGTAAAGGTAATTGGTTAATATTACTTTTTTAATTAATTCAGATCATGGGTTTTTCTACGAAACAAAGGAAACAAAAACTGGCTAAAATGAACAATTCCCATACTCAAAATTATAACCCTGACAAAACCCGACACAGCTGTGATTAGCATTGCTTCTTCAGTGAAGCCTGGTACAGCACAGTAGCAGCTTTTTTGAGGTACACTATTCTATAAAAGATTCAGAACAAAATGGCTTTTATGAAAGAGAGTAATGTTCCTATCCTCACCTCTTTAAAATCAGAACAGGTTTTGACAGAAATAATAACACAGGCCAGAAGCTTTACCTAGAGGATTGATAGCCAGCCTGTGTAATAAGATGTGGCAACTTCTCCTGTTCATTAATCTCTACATAATGCCATGAGCATACTTTAATTGCTTAATTATGATATAATATGATGGCCATATGTAATTATTCTCCAGCCATAGCAATGTGCACCTAGGGTGGACAGAACGTGCACAAAGCCTAAAGCACCACTTAAATCTCCCTAAATAGCAGCAGCACGGGCAAATTTCATCTGTGATTTGCAATATTTTAACCCTGCATGAGGTGTTGCAGAAGACAGAGACTTTCTCTTCTGTATTTCCACATATATAGAATGTCTCAAGCGTTATCATTGGAAAGATGCTATGAAAACCTTTTTTTTTTTTCCAAATAAAAGATAATAAAGACAAATTACATTTGCCATAGGATATCCTGACTTATATCTGAGTACAACTGCATGCAAACCAACAATGTAAGTGTGTCTCAGCATAGTTACAAAAAAATGCCAAACCCAAGCCAAAAAAACCCCAAACCAACCAACCCTGAAACTTTAATGGTAACAACTGGCATAAAAGGAATTTGACTGAAGCGCTCAAAATCTGGCCTTTCAACCAGTTTGTGCTGACCCCTCTTATCTATACTATCTTTAACAAGAGTGCTCAAGTGTGCATTGCCATTAACGACCTCATCAGCCTCCTTTAATGACTTCACAGGTTATCACCAGAAATAAGAGAAAGAGTTGGCATGTATGGACGTTGTATGGACATGTAACAATTTTGCAGAAGATTATCTACTTCTTGCATAACAGTCCAGTTTTTTACTTTACATGAAAATTTTAGCAGAGGATTTTACATACCATCTTTGGAAACCAAAGATATGATTTTGAAACAGGCTCTACCAAGACTGAAAAAGAATTCTGAGTGCTCAGCACCTTACAGGCTCTGGTCCCTCTGGCTTTTGCCAGTTTTGTAATACCAGTCATATTTTAAGATTTGCATTACTTTAAATGCTGACTCTGGACAAATTCTGTCCAAGAAAAACAAAGTATGTTCCTGAGTCTAAAAAGTACAAAACAAAACTTGAAAACAATTTTTAAATAGCTACTCATGAAGGAAAAAAATATTTTTATCAACTATTCTACTATGAGGTACTGAATGAATGGTAAAGACTAACGGCAGAGAGATTAAAGCAATTCAACCACACCAAAGAAATCCGAGAGCACCCTGATAATTTCTGATTATGGGATGCAATCATTGCAATCATCCAGGCTTTGTATGGAATTCTTTTTTCTAAAGGAACTTGTCAGAAATAGTTTCTTAGAGTAACAGTGAATAGAATTAAAAGCTTCATTGTTTCACAATTTAATAAATGGTAATTTTGGATGCTTTTCAAATATTTAAAGATGCCAAAACATCAAGTTTCTATTTTTGGCTTGTAGTTAGTTGGAAAGAAAATATTACAGTATTTTATACACACTTGCTTTGCCATAACATAGTTCTATTTTACTTCCTTTTTTTAAAAAAAAAGTGACAATCACAATGATATTCTTAAGCACTTTGAAGAATGAACTGATGTGAACTAACAAAAGTGAATAAAGAAGCTACTTTTATATCCTGTTTTGTAAATTTGGAAACAGAGATACAGGTGTTTGCAGTCACAATAGTTAAATGTGACGAGATTACTTATGTGTCCTTCCAATTAATAACTAATAAGCATCTGCTTCGTATTCCATTCGCAATAAATCAGTCCTCAGTGGGCAATCTTCAGCTTGTCAGTGCCACTCAGCATCTTCATTACTCCTGTCTGTGAAACTGGGCAGCGTCAGTTTTCAGTCCAGTACCCAGTTAAGTTGCATCAACTGAGTTCTGCAAACTGTTTGGTATTTAAAGCAAAAATGTCACATTCTAACTTTTTACTCGTTTTCTGAATGGGATAAGCCTTATGCCTCACCTTGTGTAATTTTCATTCTAAGCTCAAGACATTAACTGACCATCAAATTTAGCCAAGGAACATGCTGGCTTTCAGTGAAAATTGCTTACTACATGAAAAGATGTGAATGCAGCAGCAAGGTAGGTACCGGTTGCTGTTGACTCTTCAGCGGTCTGCAGTGTCTCCCGTAACGTGTGTACTAGCAAGCTGGGTGATATTGTACCTGCTCGGCTAGTTTATTATAAATGCATCCTAGTCTGGAGAAGCAGTCATCTAAACTACAGTTAGGTTTGAAAAGCCATTTAAGGTTCAAAACAAGATACTGAAGCCTTCCCCAAACATATGTACGCTATCACAAAATTAACACTATCCACTTGTTTGCACAGTTTTATGCAAAAAAGCTTGTCTAGCTTAAAAAATAAAGTTTAAAGATGACTACAGCTGCAAATACATTTTGTAATTTTTTTAGGGTGAGCGCTTTCATTTGAACATAAGTGAACAAAAATTATTATTATTTAACTCTGCCCCAAAGTCAGCTTTTGTAGCAAATTTGTAAATGACGTTTGAAAAGTACATCCTCCTCTTCCCCACCAATCCCTTCCTGAAAGCTCCTTCGATTAATACTTAAGCTGCTTGCCAGCCTCCAAGAACAATGGTTTTCAGCTTCTTCAGGTATATATTTTAAAAGATTTATCTCGTATCTGTTAACGATATACTTCATTACAAGGCCTCAACTCTAAAAGCTATGCTAAATAGAAGGTGAAAGCCTTTCCAAAGGCTACACAAGCTGATGGCAGTCAGTAGTGATGATCATCCACAGCCTATATCATATTCCTTTATGCAGAGAATGTATATATATAGACTGCAAGCTGAAGTGCTTAATCCATTTATGATATTATTTGGAGTTTCAGGGTTTCTTTTATTTCTTTTTATTTTTCTAAATTCATCTACCTCTATACTTGTTGAGAAATACAAATCTAACCTATTAACACTTACACTCAGGTGCAAGTTAAACTAATTTGCTTTTCACTTAGTAAAAAACTAAAATAACACTGCAACTCTACTTGTCCTTAATGTAATTCTAAAAGCCTATACACAAACAAAAAAAAGGCCAGATTTGCTGAAATAATTTAGCTACACGTATACAGCTGTCCTTTTGTGTCTTACAGCTTTCTGGCATGTTGGTGAAGGACACTGGGGAAAAAAAATCTTCAGGCAAGATATGAGGCAGTATTACATACAGCAACAATAAATGACCTACCTAATAACTGCATTTGTAGAAGCATCAGCATCGGAGGAGTTTACAAGCAAAATATCTGTCCCTGTAGGAGCATCCTCCGGAACAGTGGCAGAATACACATTAAAGGCAAATGTGGGGACGTTGTCATTGACATCATCCACTGTGACAGTAATGGTTCCAGTGCCAGTGAGGGCAGGAGATCCTGCGGGAAAGCGGGATACAAAACGCTAGAGGTTACAAATACCACCGTGCTAATCCGAGTCTGCCATCCCCAATTTAAAGCCTAGCGCTTGAGCATGTCACAGTTCACAGAGCAAGAAAGCCAATTCAACATATAGGACAGGCTCAGATTTGTTTCAAAGGCATCTCGACATAAAGTACAAGTTGTGAAAGAAAAAAAAAAGTAAAGAAGTTGTTATTTTTCTTGCTCCATCTAATTTCAGAAATATTTTGTAATACAAGCTCAGTGGAAAAAGATGGGCTTGGAACCTCTGAGAAGCCTTCCTGTAACAATTAGGACCAATTTGAACATGTGGTTGACCTTCTTATTTCTCTAAAAGAAGACGTTCAAAGGTGGCACACTGACAGCCGTGAAGACTCCAGCCCTCAATTTATTTATCCGCAGAACAAATAGAGTGGAAATAGTGGCAAACCCCAGCTTTCCGCGTGGCTTTTCCACTGCCGGTCGCACCCCTGACCTGGGGAGACCTTTTCTGAACGGGTGACAAGGTTGCACAGTCTCCAGCCCCGTTCAGACTCAATTTCTCCGTAGAAGCAACCATCTACAGAAGCAAATAATGCTCACTCAGATGGGATATTGGCTTACGGGAAATTGGCCTGAACTTATTTAACCTACGTTTTTCTTCCTTCTTGTTATTCTAACACTTAACTCTGATGAGCAGGAACAAGTGAGAAATCGCATGTTTATTCATGGGCAATCGCTCAGTGTTTATTCTCTTAAGCTTTTCCTTTGTCAAATCCAAAAAAAGACAATGAAGAGTTTTACAAGTTCATGTTAGTTTTGCCAGTCTATTACACTTATTTTCAGCCAAGAATCAGCAAGACATCTGCTAACCAAGCTCCTCACAGAGGGTCCCTGAAAAAAAGTGGGATCATTCCTTTCTTTGAATACCTAACAGAAAGGAGAGGAAGAGAGTGATAGGGAAGCATAAAATACATGAGTTATGGCCCTTTTACTCAAAAGACAGATGATGACCATGCCTGTTTTACCCAAGATTGCGTCGCTTTCCCCTTCAATCTCAAACAGATTCAACAATTCAACATTTGCTGGACTGGGAAAAAAGTGATGATAATGAAAAGCTTTGGGACAGAGACTGCTTAAAGACCTTGCTGCAAGGCAAGCATGTTACACGGGGCTGTCATTTGATGAAACACAGGCAGCCCCCATGTGACTGTCCCAGCCCTGCCAACCCCTTAGATGATGGGATTGCTGCTACCCAAGGTTATTGCTGGACCTCAACCTTAGGGCTGGGAAGAAGGCAGGCTCTGCTCTTGGGTCTCATGTGGTCCTGGCAAGGCCTCCAGACATCAAACTGTTGTATAAAAGAAGAAAAAACAACGCATTTTCCCCTACGTTAACCCTTGCAGGTTGAAGTACCACCACACTGCATCACGGGAAGAAGCTGGGAGCAGCTCCTGCAGGGGAAGGAGGTTTTTCCACTGCAAAATACTTCAAAGTAACTTGGCTTAATGCACAAAGGGACTGAACAAAAGAACTTCCAACTGAAAGGTACTATAAATCTTGCAAGGCTGACTTTGAAGCCTGCTGATCGGACGGGACGGATCACGACACTGAGGAAAGAACTCGCAAGCCAAAGAGTATAGGTTTCACGCCACGGCTGCGCACAATGGAGGCCTTTCTCTGCTCTCGTCTGAGGTAATTCATTTTGCCAATTAATATGCTTTCAGCCAGGAAGGTTACATTAAGGCAATAAGTCTGACTCATTTTTTACCCTCTATTCCCGTCCCGTCCCCATCCCCCCCCATTTTGTCATTTAGCCAAACACATATAGATAGAAAAGACTGCTAAAGCGTTCTTGATTGCTGAAATATTGCCTGTGGAGTGTTTATTATTACTGCATTAAATGAAACAGAGTCCTCAGTGGTGTTTGCTGCATGTGTCATCAAGCTCCGGCCTTCCAAACACATTTAATTGACATTTATCTCGCAGCTAATGAAATGAAAAGTTGAAGGTTGTTAAGTTTCACAGGTGATTAAACAATTTATACATAATTCAGAAATTAATCTTGGGTAAGTCACATTCAAAGAGCATCAGTAATGCAACTCAGTCTGGAAAAGAAAGCTAACTTGCAGCTAAAACCCAAAACTCATTGTTTTAAAATTTTTTGCTAGCAGAAAGAGCTAATGCCAGAAAATTCATGCTGTTGGTTTATTCACAAAAATGAACTGCAGTGGCAGAGCCTTTAGAGGTAACCCAACATTGGGGTGACGGGACTAGCTCCAGCGCGGCTCTGTAACCCAACGTTGGGGTGACGGGACTAGCTCCAGCACAGCTGTGTAACCCAACGTTGAGGTGACAGGACTAGCTCCAGCACAGCTCTGTAACCCAATGTTGGGGTGACGGGACTAGCTCCAGCGCAGCTTTACAGGCTGGCCCTGTCCTGGTTGGGAGCACTGAGCTCAGTGCCGTGCTAGCTATGTTCAGAGGACTGGTGAAGAGAGGAGAATGGGAAGAATGCATTCACATCTGCTGGCAAAGTACTGCATCATCATATGCTAACAGCAAAACATTGCAATGGGTTTGTTCTTCCTCCTGCATGGCTATTATGCCTTTGGTCACATAATGGAAATGGTCGAAAGGGATGCCAGAGGTAATAGCTGCTTACGGGCTATGGATATTCTGCTGCTAAGGATTACACTGATAGCAGTTTTTGACTCAGCCATTTGAACCCAAACAGCCCCGGCCCCCTTTCCTCTCTGAGGAATCTGAATTTGCAGGGTACCAAACAAATGCCCCAAGGGTCAAATCCCAGCCCTCGCCTCAGCCCCCTATATATTCCGTGCTATTATTCTCCAATTCCACCTCTCCATCGGATGCACCTACAAGGCACTGTGCAGCACAGGATGGACATATTTATATTAGCCTCAGAGTAGTGAATATGCCAGCCAAGGTTGAGCACCATACTAATAAAATTAGCTAGGGTAATGTAAGTAACCCAGATCTCATTCAGCGCTAGCTTGTGGCTGTGTTGTGCTCACAGAAACATCCCAGAAGTCCAATATTAATTCAGCTGGTTTTAACATCCCAAGTCACTGCTCTTCAGTTCAAAACCCCAAATCTTTCTCATTTTACTCAGATGGAAAAACTGACGTATTTACATCGGTTTCCTGTCTATGTAGTTATCCAAATTTTTTTTTTTCCTCTAAGTAAAACATCACGTCCACAAATTTACTCCTTTATTCTATTGCAGTGAAAGATAAAGTTGCAATTTCACAGAGAATCCTCAGAGCTTTTGTTCAGTTGAAATTAAATGACTAGCTCACATTTCTGCAGTAACTGAGAAATATAAGAAGAGGAAATTACAAATGAAGTAATTTTCTATGGAAAAGAAATAGCTTGGGGCCAAATTCTACCGTCCTCAGTGAACTTTCAGTGAAAGTTGTGCTTGAATAAGGACCACAGGATTTGGCCCCGGTAATAAGTAGGTTTCATAAAATGTACATGTCATTTTTGTGGTGAGAGAAGTAGTTTCCATGGTCAGGCTGAGTTCCCAGATTTCTTAGTTTTGCTTCGATAGCAAATCTTCCCCAAGTCAGTTATTCTTATTATGCTAGAGCACCATCCCTTTTTTCTTCAAACTGCACTTAATATTTTGCATAAATACGTGTAGTAAATGTTCTGTAAATTTTGCAATATTAGCCAAACACTTAAGATGCCCTCAAACTGTTTTTAATAAACCAGACATGTTACAACCTATATAAAATTGCTGTACACAGCCACACGACACTGAGTACTCCTACAAACAGACCTGAGGGCTAGAGTCACAAAGAAACATACACTTTTCCATTAGTGAACTTGCACTAAATTTTCTACCAAGTTTTGATAATAGTCTGAACTATTTTTCAGCAGAAGCAATAACTTATTTCTTTGTCAGACACCTCTTATTTAAAGCATTTCTCCAGTGCTATGCTACTACTAGTTTTTTTCAAAGCTCAAAGTATCATATCTCACAGAGGCTTAGGATATCCACATCGAAAAAAAGTTTTCTGGAAAGGTGGAGGAATGAAAGAACCATTAAATGATTAATAACTGGAGAACATAAAGCTAACTATGTGAACTAAATTGGAAAGATTGGATTGACTGTTCAGTGACTATCAAATCTTTAAAATTTAAAAGACGATGACATTAATATATTATTATTATTTTGAATTTCCCATCTCTGTGTGCTGTGGTCTGTTTCTATGAACCGAACAGTTTATTTTCTAGGTGACAGCTGTACATATACATTAAGCAGACAGTCCCACAAACGTCCACATGTCATTGTTGAAATAAAGATTAACCTGGGATAGTGTCAAAATAGTAACGCTGAGTTCAGGAAGAAAATTGCTTCCCACGGATGTTCTTCCAAAAATTTAAGCTCTTTGCTTACATCTGCAAGTAAACATGTGTCTGGGGATGAAGAGAAGGAGCAGACCTTGGGAGTCTGCTCCTTGGAGGCCCACGGTAGAGGACGAGTTACGGGGGGAGGTTACAAGAGGCCACCTCAGGCTGGGCCAGCGCTGGGCTGTGGCTCCCCTCTCTGTGTGGGACATTTGAGGAGGTGACGGGAAGAAACGGCCGTGGGGTAGGCAGGCAGCAGCATGGGGGCAGAACCTATCTTCTCCCAGCAAGGCAAGACTGGCAAAGACCTACCAAGATGGTCTTCCACCCCACTCACCAACGCTTGTCGTGGCTGATCACCACAAAAACATGATGATATTGGAAATGTGTGAGGTTAGAAGTGATTGGAAAGTGATCTTTGCCTTTGGTTATACAGCCACCCTTGTATTGGGCAAGTTAAGATTTTTCATTTGGAAAAACTGCCTTTCAATTTTCATTCAGTGTGATTGATTCATTCATTACAGCTAGCTTGGCTGCCTTGGCGACACTGCGTACTAATATCAATATACTTTCCAGAATAAAAGTATTAACAAGTTCTTTATAAGTTCTTCATAGGTCAC